GACATTTTTGAACCTCATCTCGAGGTAGGGAGCCACAGCACTTTCACCCACCTCTTCATAGTAAAGAAAGTTTTTATGTATCACCCCACCCCAGTGGGAGGAGCTTAACAGGGGTGTGAACGCAGACGGTGTAGTGATTCTCAGTTCCCGGGGCCAGGTTTCGTTCTCTCTCTCTCCCCCCCAACCCCCCCAAGGGGCAGCTTTCTGTCTCGGGGGTCTGTCGAGTAGGTGATGTGATTCCTGAGGCTGCCCCACAGCTGTCTCCTGCCCGAAGTGGTGAGATGAAGGGTGGGGTGGCCTGAGCCTCGCCGTGGGCCCAGCAGGTCCCAGGTGGCCGGGCGACCCCTGGGGGTGTGACTGTGTAAATCCCCGGCCCCTCTGCTCCTAGGTTCTGCCCCCAGGCCCCCGGCTGGCATTTCCCAGGCCCGACTGTTCCCGGGACTGTAGGCCCTGGCAGGATCGTTCCTTGTGGGACAGAGATGTTCCTGCAGAACCTTCTTACGGGATGTTTCCTAATACGGACTTTTCTTCCCTGTGGGGAGGGCCGCCCTGGGCCCCTGCCGGCCACTCACCAGCCCTTCTTTCCCCCCAGGACTCGCCGTCTCCAGGTCCCCTGCTGTCACCCACGCGGAGTAGGCGCAGCGCCCGGGTTCCTGAGAAGGTGGGCGCAGCTCCAGGCCCCGCAGAGGAGACCAGGGGGAGGCCTGGCCCGGTGAGAAGCCCTGGGGAGTGTGGCTCGGGGCGCATCAGGGCTGGCTCACGTGACACCCGCTGTCTGCTGCGTGTCCGTCAGCATCGGCGGCTGACCGCGTCCTACTCCTCGGCCCCTGTTTGTCTTGATTTGTTTTGGTTTGTTTTGTTTTCATCCTCCCCTGAGGATACGTTTTTATTTTTATTTTATTTATTTATTTTAAAATATATTTTATTGATTTTCTTCAGAGAGGAAGGGAGAGGGATAGAGAGTTAGAAACATCCATGAGAGAGAAACATCGACCAGCTGCCTCCTGCACACCTCCTACTGGGGATGTGCCCGCAACCAAGGTACATGCCCTTGACCGGAATCGAACCTGGGCCCCTTCAGTCCGCAGGCCGACGCACTATCCACTGAGCCACACCGGTCGGCACTGAGGATATGTTTTTAGAGAGAGAAACATTGATGTGACAGAGATACATCGCTCAGGTGCCTCTCGTACCCGCCCTGACTGGGGATTGAACCTGCAGCCTAGGTGTGTGCCCTGACTGAGACTCAAACCCGGAGCCTTCGGGCGCGCGGGACGATGCTGCAGCAGCTGAGCCACCGCGGGCTCCTGGCCTGGGTTCGGCTTTGCTCGGTCCGATCCCGACCTCGGGCACCGTAGCCCCCACCCCCTGGCCCGGGTCTCGTCTGCTCTTCGCTTGGCACTCGTGATGAGCTCCTCAGCACCGGCTTCCCTTTCACGGTCAGCGGTACCCGTCCCTGCCTTCCGCTGAAGACTGAGTGTTCAGCTGCAGGCAGACCGCTGTGGCCCTGGACAGAGCCCTGGGCAACAGCACTCAGCTTCCCGGGAGCCGTCCCGGGAGCCGCGGCCCTGATGGG